GGGGCCCTTGCCTTTTCTATCCTTCTCCAGCCCCCAGGGAAGCCGGAGACCTGGCCTGCAGTCAGAGGCCATGGAGGGTCTGTGCACGAGCTGTCAGTTCCCACCCATAGACACCCTGGGCCCGTGCCCTCAGGTGTGCCCGACTCCCAGCATCCTGCCCTAGCCTCAGGCCGCACCCTCATTTCTGGCTGGGATGATTCAGGCCGCGGAGGCAGCTCTTTCCTCTCAGGATCTGCTGGAGGGAACTCAGCTCCTTCTCAGCCCAGGGCCTGGCTTCCAGAGCTGGCTTTCTCCATTTGAGCCCTGGGGCTCGAGGGTGGAGTTGATGTGGGAGGGCTTACCTGCCCACCCCCGCCCAGGTTGTCAGGGAGCCAGGGAGGGACGAGGTGGTCCTGGTCACTTGGGGCTGGCATAGGAGCCTGCATTCTGCTGTGCCCAGCAGCTGGAGATCTTTCCCGGGCCGGGTGTGTCCGGCTTCCGCTCCCACCCTCCGGAGCAGGGGCCAGGGACTCTGGGTTCCCCCCAGGCCCTAGCCACCTCGGCTTGGTGCGCCTCCTCTCAGGCCTGTCCCCCTCCCGGGCCCACACCGGATGGTTCAGCCCCAGACCCTGCGGGAGAGCAGCCCTGATCTGCCTTTCATCTCTTGCCAAAGGCAGATGCTGCGTTTTCAAACTCTTCTGCCCTCTTTTTTTTTCCTCCCCTGTATTTATTTATTTATTTATTGCTTGTGCTAAAGACCAAAATAGTCTCCCTCTTTAGTGCACTTGAAACGGGAGGGTGGATGGGAGGAGCCGTGTGTGTGCAGAGCAAGGATTACGTGGTCCCTGGGAGTGTGTGCCGCGTGTGTGTGTGTGCGTGTGCGCGCGTGCGTGCGCACCCATGTTTGTGCACGTGTGTGTGGCGTGTGGCGAGCACGTCAGTCCTCTGAGTGTGCCACATGCCGTGCGTGGTGTGTGTGCTGAGCACAGGTGAGTGGGGAGCATTTGTGCCCGTGTGTGTGGTCTGTGTGCCGTGCAGGTGTGCGTACCAATCCGGTCCCTCCCTTGCCTACCCCGGCACTGAGATCTCCAAGGGGTTTCTTGACGGCCTGAACTAGGAGGTGTGGGGGTTGCAGTTGGCCCAGAATGTGGCCTCTGACGCCCTCCCGCCTGAGACACTGAGCCGCTTGTGTGGGAAAGGGGCCGTGCTGGCAGTGTGCTCAGGAGCGTGAGTGTGCGAGCCCCGAGTGTGGGAACTGACGTGGACAATCATCCCATCTCATCTCTGTTCAAGCAGATGTGTGCAGTCACAGCTTTGCCTGAGTGCCCGGGTGTGCGGATTCACCCCGTCATGGGAGCGCCGTACAGGTGTGTGCGCACGGCGATCTCCACACGTGCGTGAATCCGGGCTGATGGCATCCATGCGGGATGTGTACGCGTGCGTACGCAGATACACGCAGAGACTCGTGTGTGCGTTTACCCGTAGGCGTGGTTGTGGGTGTGCGTTCCATACGTGGGCATTGGTTTAACTGTTAGCCAGGCTGGAAGGCTGGGGACACGCCGCCCAGGACGGATGCCGGCTCCGGACGTGGGCACACAGCTGAACGCAGTAGTCCTGCTGACCCCCTGCCCTGATTGTGTCCGGAGGGGAATGTGTGGAATGTGCGTGCCGGAGGCTCCGAGGCAGTGTCTTCGTGTGTGCGTGAGTACATGGCATCCAAGGATGGCCTATGCGTGTGTGCATTTGTCCCAGTGAACACGTATGCACGTGTGGAGCATTTGCGTGGCAGCTGGGCCAGGCTCTGTGAGCAGGGCTGGCGCCTGCCTGCTGGGGGCAGTGTGTATGGGCACGTGTGAGCATGTGCAGGTCCCAGGGGTGTGTGCACACGGATGTCAGTGGAAATGGTGTGTCTGTGCATGCTCGTGCGTGCTGCTAGGAACATGCTGGCCGCCCCCCCGTGCCCTGCTGGTGCTGTGCCGCCCCGTCCCCGCCTGCTGAGGGTCCCGGTGGGGGCTGGGGGGGCGGGAGCGGGGGCCTGGTGGGAAGGAGGCCCCTGCACAGGGGTGTCTGCCCTGCGTGAGGTCATAGAATGTCAAATCTATTTTAAATGGTGAAACTGGAGAATTTTCATGTTATTTTCAATACATAGCAGTATCTAAAGACATAGGCCACGAGACTAGACCACATTAAATGCATTTTGATCTCTTTGAGTGCCACCGTGTGGAGATATGTGTTTGAAAATCCCTGCCTGGCATTCCGATGCTCCCTCAGCCCCCTGTGTCCTGGGGCGATGGGGCTCCCCAGGGGCCTTGGGGGCGGGGGTGGGTGGGTCACGGTAGGAGCTCTGGGAGAGAGGACAGAACACAACCTGCTCGCAGCCCCCAGCGGGCTCTTCCAACTGGCACACAGACCCTCATTCTCCTGTGACCGCACACCCTGTCCCACACAGACCCCCGGGGGCACACCACCCACTCGGACCGGTTGTCACACTTCCCCAGCCACGTGACCTTGGGCCACCGCTTTGTCCTCCCTGGGCCCACACCTCCCCGCTTTGCGTTCCTTCTGCAGAGATTTGAGGAGCGCGTCCACACGCACGCGTGTGCCGACTGCAGGGAAACAGTAGCTCTTTCCTGGGACTCGGGCGCGGAGGAGCCCCGGCTGGACAGCAGCCCCGGTTCTCACCACCGTAGGGGAGAGGAACCCCTACTGCAGCCTGGCGCCGTGAGGTGACGGGGAGGACCTGGAGTGGTGTCCCCCCTAGGGAGGCTGGGCCGATGCGGGACAGAGGGAAGAGACAAGTGCGGCCAGAAGGGGGAGCAGGAAGGCCAGCAAGGCCCATTCTGGGGAAGGGAGAATTTTATCTGTAGGAGGGCTCAGTCTCTGGGATTTCAGTGGCTTTCTAGCAGAGGGCCCACAGGGAGAGAATTCTTTCCTTTGCCCAAACTAGTTCCGTGGCCGGAGAACCCCTCTGCATCAGTGAAGGACCCCAGGGGACCTTCATTCTGTAGGATTCAGATGATGATTCCAGACCACAAGGTAGGAAGCCTGGGTAGTGGTGACGTATGCACTGATGAAGGACAGGAGGTTGGGAGGTGTTGGGGGCAGGTCACGAAGGCTTCTTGGAGGTTGTTGTTCCCTGGGGTTGAACCTGGAGACAGGGAGAGCTGAGGGTGGTTACGGCTAAATCTGGGGGCGGGGTTGGAGCTCATCCTCTCCTAACCCTGGAGCCCTCCTTGGCACCGCAGTACCTGAATCTAAGCCAGTTGAGGCCAGGGAGCGATGGCCTCCCCCAGCCCCCTGAGTGCTAGTTCCCACAGACGGGTATGGGGCCCCAGTCAGCGTTTGATAAATATTTATTGTTCAAACTTCGTAGCACTGAAGCTCAGGAGCCTTGAGATACCCCCTGTCCTGGCTGTGACCCTCGGGCAGACCCCAGGCCACTCCTTTGCTTGGTGACCTATATTGAATTCCTTTCCTCCTGTGGCCTCGGTCTCCTGGTCTCTAAAGAAGGGGTGTCCATAATCGTTGCTAGCTCTCACACTTGTCGGAAAGAACGAGAAGGAGAAAGAGGACCTTTAATTAGCAGATGCCTTGCACACATGCTGCATATACAAGCCCACGAGGTGGGGCCGGTGCACGTGGAAGGAGCCCGAGGCTCGAGGTTGTAGCCACACCAGGTCTTTGTGTGGCTGAGACCATAGGCTC